GTCTTTCCATGCCTTGATAACTCATTTCATTTTAGCACCCAATAATAGTCCATTTTCTGCCTGGACCACAATTTATCCATTCACCTACTGAAGAACAGCTTAGTTGCTTCTGAGTACTGGTGATTATGAATAAAGCTGCTATTAACATCTGTATGCAGATTTGTGTGTGGACATAATTTTCCATTTCGTCGAGTAAACCCCAAGGAGGACAGTTGCCGAATCATATGTTAGGAGTACGTTTAATTTTGTAAAAAATTGCCAGAACGTCTTCTAAAGTATTGGGCCATTTTACATTCCCATCAACATTGCATGAGAATTCCTGATGCTCCACATCATCACCAGCATTCGGTGCTGTCAGTGTTCTGCGTTTTGGGAGTTCTGACAGTTGTGCAGTGATACCTCGCTGTTTCAGTCTGCATCCCCTTGATGACAGGTGCTGTGGAGCATCTTTCCATAGACTTCTTTGGCATCTAGATTTCTTCTTTAATGAGGTGTGTGTTAAGGCATTTTGGTCATTTTTTAATCAGGTTATTCATCCTTCTTGTTGATTTTAAAGAAATTTTGGTATATTCTGGATATCAGCCCTTTATCAGTGTGTCCCTGCCCTTCACCTGCAGCACCGGAGTTGTCCTTTGGATCTCAGTGGAGTGTCAGCTCTTCATAGAGGTTCCCTGTCTTCCCTCAGCCTAAATACTGTCCTTGTATTTTTCACTTTCATTGACTCATTTTGTTCTTTTTAAATAGTATTTCCCGTAATTTGTAAGTACATTAAAAAAAAAAGGGCAGTGTTTGAACACCGCCTCCCCCACCAGACTGTGTACCCTGTGAGAGCAGAGGCCCTGTCCCCACTCACCGTTTCCCATGACAGCACAAGGCACATGTCCATGTAAAAGTGTGTAACGTGGGGCCAAATCTGATGAGCATCTATAACGACATGTGTTGGCTGCCATTTATTGAGTAGACTTTGTTTCTAATCTCAATTATTAAATCACACGAATGAAACTTGTTTGTTCTGAAAAATAAAACAACAAAGCTCACCTCCATTTGATTGGTACTTTCTACTTAGCCTTCTGACCCAGCAGGGGATGTTCACCATCATTTTGTGGAGGAGGTTGGGGAGGTAAAGTAAGAGAGTGAGATCAAATAAAGTAAAAATGATAACTATCAGGTGGTTTTATTTTCACTAAGACATAAAAGTTACTTTAAACCCTATCTCAGCTGTTGTTCTGTTGTTTCAAACATTTCTCATAGAATTAAATGGAAGCCCACTAAACCCTGAAAGGGAAATTGTGTGCTCAGGTCCTGAAAAGCGTTTATGTCTATTTCTTGAAATGCACATTTTCCCTGCTGGTTACAGAAATTCGAGGCAGGAACACAGCCATGCGCTGTGTGTGTCTGCCGGCTTCACGGGCTGCTCACTGTCATTTTCATTTTCTTGTGTTGCAGTTTATGACGGTTTTCCATGAGATATATTGCTCAGCCTTTTCCTGAATGAAGGATTGAATTTTCCACAGAAAATCTTATGAAAGAGAATGACAAGGCACATGGGTTCCCCAAAAAGGAATAGTTGATGTAATAAACTCTCACTATGGTGAACTTTTTAAAGACAAGCCAGTTGAAAATTTTATTACTAGGTCATATGTCACAAATCTGTCTTAAGAATAAAAAGATTCAAATTTTATAGAAGCAGTTTGAATCAAGTAGAAATTATGATTTGTACACTATTTGTTGTTAGAACTTATACTCAGTCTTATCATGATTGCCTGTGGTAGGAACTGGATCATTATTAATTTATTAAAAAAAAATCCTCTAGGTGCTATTTGCCCCATTCTTGATGCGGCAGTGCTGAGGTTAGTTAAGTTGGGCCATTTAGGATTCTTAGCTAGGTTTTCCGGACATTGATATCAGCCTCTTTATCTTTTTTACAATCTCTTCTTCTGTGTCGGCCTTTGGTCTTTTGACAACGTGGAAATACTGCACGGATCTGCCTTTCCCTTTTTTTCCTGTCTTTGTGGGAAAAGATTTCTGTAAGACAGACTACTAGGATATTAAGGATTTTGTGTGGGGTAAGTTTGGTCAGTTCTAAGGATTTCAATTAATACGTATTGATACTTGCTATTCAGCTAATGACAGTAAAATTATAAACTAACTTAAGTATACGCCAGTAAGTATAGTACAATAAGCCCATCACCCAGGTTAAGGAATTCACAAACTTTTCCATATTTCCTTTATTCAGACATTTGTTCTTTTATTTGTCCTTTGTTGAAGTATTTGACAGCAAATCCAAGAAGACATGTCATTTTACCCTTTGTACTCAAGTAGGCATGTCTGAAAAATGAGGGCCTTTTCTTTGATCAGGTTTTTCCATTTGACCCATGTGCTCGTTAAGTACCAGCTGTATCAGGCACCCCACTAGGCATTAGGGATCCTTGGGGCAATGAGACAGTCCTGGCTCCAAGGAAGTTAAGGGCTGATGTAAAAAAACCAACACAGGAGCTTGGGTGCCTCACTTAAGTTCCCTGCTGGATGACACCAATTGGACAAAATTTGTGCACAATACAGTAGGATTCACAGAAGGGACTGGTCAGACTTGTAGGGCAGGCCTTGAGAGGGGTGGTCAGCAGGGCTACAAGAGGAGGAATCATTTGATCAGAATGTGAAATTCTTTCTGCCAACCTTTCTACCAAGCTCCCAGGGCCCATAACACACAACCCTGTGCTGTAACTGTTTTTGATTCCAGTTACCACATCTCCTTCAGGAAGGATTTAAAGGTGGAAAATATTTAAAATCCATAATTGTTGCCAGAAGGGACATAGAACAAGGAACAGAAACAACACAAATGTCCATCAGCACATGACTGGATAAAGACGAGGAGATACATATATACAATGGAATACTACTCAGCCATAAAATATGCCATTTGCAGCAACATGGATGGACCTGAAGACTGTCATTCTAAGTGAAGTGGGGTGGAAAGAGAAAGAGAAATGTCACATGACTTCATTTATGGGAAATCTAAAATTAATAGCAATAATAATAAGACCACAAATGAACTAAATATTATTTTCATTTCTTGAATATATGTAAGCACATCTGACTGTCCTTTGTGATTGGATTACAATATTCTGTTTATTATTCTTTTGTAGATGTCCTTATTCCTCTGGTAACTGTAATTTTAAAAATCTAAAGCTCTAATCAGTTCTTAGGAACAATAATTAGTACATATATGTAAACTAAAAAATGCAGTATACTCTATACATATATTTACATGCAATATGTGTATGTGAAGTTGAACTGTAATAATTCTACCTAATAAAACTGAAAAAGGAAAAAAATAAATAATTTATTTAAAAAAACACCCCTCTTTAGATATTAAAACGTTCATTTCTGAGATTCTGTGAAAGACAGCATGGATGTAGGTTTTTAAGATTTTCTCCTTGCTCCTCAGTGAGCAGCCTGGGCTGCAGAGCTCGGCCGCCACAGTCACCCAGGACTTGCCGGCTTGCTCCTCACTTCTTGGGAGGAAGGTTAGCTGCTTCAGGAATATTTATGTTCTTAGAAGTTGCTGAAAACCCCACAGAGCTTCTGTTTACATGGAGAGTATCTGTCAATATACCCCATTTTCGAAATTAGAACAGAAAATTTAAACCCAAGAACTGACAAGCACACGCTGTCCCAGCACGTGGTCAAAGCAGTGCTGCCACGCTGGGGTTGTTTTCATTCTAGAAAAAATGCACCGTACACTCAAGAATGAGGGTGAACCCACAGATCTCATCTCAGAAATGCTATGAAGAGGTGGGACCCAATGCCCCTAAAACAGTGCTGAAGTCCCCAGATGTCTCAGAACACACAGAGCCACGGGACCAAGAATCCAGTGTCTCCTGGATCATCAGCCGTGAAGACCGCGTCCTGGGTCAGGAGGAGCAGAAGTAGTGATAGCAGGCACACAGTCCTATTACAGCAAAGTTTTAAAGGTTTTGAACTGACTGATAGTTTGGCAAAGATTTGCATTTAGACTACAACATTTCCTCTCCTGGAGACGTTAGAAGGATAACACTGATTAATAGAGGATGATTGTAATGGATTAATTATGATACTGATGACATGGGCTACGAACACTAACCCTACACTCAGTGTAGACTAAGCCTTTTATGTACACACTTCATTAGGTCTCCACACCCCTGCAAGGTGGCATTAGCACTCATACAACCATGAAACCAGTGACTATAAAACAGTCACAAGCCTTCCTCTCCAGCATGAGGTAGCAAAATCAGCAAGGATTTTCAATGACAAAAGCCAAAATCATATATTTTTGGGAAAGAAAGCAAATGAAACACTGAAGAACAATAAACCAAAAGAGCAGATGGAATGGAAAATTTTATTGAAGAAAGCAATGATTGATTCAATTAAAACAGCTAATATCCCTGGTATAATTGAACCATCAATCCAAAATTTTGGAAAAGTAGGTTGTGAAATTACTGTCTCATTTAATATTGGAATTCCTAGTTGGACCAATTTGATATGCATCACTGGTGTGAGGTTAGATATTTAGGCAAATAACAACATTCCTATTTTTTAAGTTAACAGGAAACAACACAGAACTCCAGATTTAGGGAGAGAATGCAAACAACTACTATCATATGCCATTAAGTAAGGACACGTGTCCCTGCGTCACCAAAGCAATGAGAATTTGCACAAAGAAAACACAGTTCTCCAATTGTGACAAATATGAGACCGTGAGCCATGAAATACGAGAACAAGCAACTGTTTAAATGCCATGGGCAAATTTTTTTTATCATCTTGAAAACATCACTGATGTTCTAGGTAAGAAAAAGAATTATTTTACTAACAAATCCAACAGACACAGGGGTTTTTCCAAGTGAGAAGGTGATTCCAAAAAGTGCAGTAAAATGAGTAAAGATGATCTGCGCAGTGACGGAGATGGTCCTAGACTGACCAGCATCACGATTCCCCGTTTTACACTTGCTCTCTGCTCGTCACCTCTGACACAAGAACTCAACAAATGATTTTTTCCTTTAGAAGAAAAAGATAAATAAAATCTAACTAGAAGATGTGGTATGTAAAGTGGTGATGAAGTTGTCTAACCTTATAATGCAGCCAGTGTAATGTAGCACTTATTCGGGCACTAGAATTTTTAATTCATTATTTCTTTTATACCCTCGTTCTATCCTAAAGGAGTCACTTAAAGTTTTCTACTTTATTCAACATATCTTGTGAGGGTTGTGATATACTCTGGTATGGCAGTTTTCAGAGATTTAAAATCGCCTCTGTGGTTGTGGTCTGGAAAGAGAAGGCTCCCTCACAGCTGCGACGGAGAAGGAATCCCCGGAGTCCGCCTCCGGGCAGCTTCCGAACCGCATCTGCTTGCACATGGCACGGGACACCGTGCAAGTGTAACTGTGACAAGGAGATTTCCCCGGGGCCTGGGAGGTGCTCTAACATTGTGAAGCCACTTGTTTCCCAGTTAGGTAAGGCTGGAAAAATAGTTTATTAGAAGTGACTCCCTTTGTATGTGCCTTTTGTCCTGAGAGGTTACTAATTAGTATAGAATATAAAATACCCCATAATATAAGAATTTAGGTACCACATCTTTCCATCTACCTGTGTATTTGTTTATCATATTTATTGTTAGGTTACATTTTCTATGACGTTCACTTCTGGGCACCAGAAAAGAAAGGTTACAAAATATTTATTATAAACAGGGGGGACTGGGTCTAAGGGTTAAAAACCACTACTGCTAACAATAAAAACCGTATAATAATTTTAATCTCTGTTGCATCAGACCTTCCAGAATTACTCCCTCAAATTCACTGTTAAAACAGTAATGGAATCTCTGTTCTTCCAAGACTCTGTCGTGATCGCCACCCATCCAGACATCTGTCTGTGGGTCCCTACTTGTCCTCGACGCCCACGAACACACCTTACGGGGTGAACATTCTTCAGTGCCCCTATTGTAGGGGAAACCTGGAATTCCCAGGCACTGTCCAGGAGTCACACCTACCTGCAAAAATCAAAGTCATGTGACTGAAACGGGACAACCCAGGTGGTGTGATAGGGCTGAAAGCTCACCAAAACAGGTTTGGGGGCCTAACACAAGCCCTCCGGCTCCTCACATGAAGAAGGACAGGGAGGCCCAATTAGCCACGAGACTGTGGGGCTTCATTACTCCATGAATAAAGGATTTGTGCCAGTGCCACCTTTAGACAGGGAACCCCAAAACCCAGACTTGGAAGCACCCTGTCCCCTCCCCTCTGAACAAATATTCTCTCAAGACACATAGTGAGAGATTGGAGCCCCGGTGAGCTCTGGAATAAGATGCAATCTGAAAGAATGCTGCTAACATATAGTGCGGAGCTCGGGCAGCCCCCAGGGCCACCAGCCCTTCTGGTACCACTGATGCCCACAATTCCATTCACAACAGTTTCTTCAGGACACTTACGCACACATAACCATCACACAAAAATGATTGCTTAGACATATTTTAAGTGAAATAACATTATGAGAATGCCAAATTCATGACAAGTCAGAGTCAAGACCCAAGAGTATTTACTGGATGAGATCTCACGTGTGCTCCGCAGTGAGCTTTAAACCCTTAGGACACAGTCATGGAACACTAGGCATTTTCTTTCTTTCCTCCAAGTTGGCTTTACTGGAGAACTCCGTAGACACAGGAAGACTCTGGATCCCACCTCTACTACTTACACAAAGGGCTCAACACGTGGAGAGGGATCAGCGCTGGTGCCACCGGCTCCAATGTGAGCACCCCCATGCCCAGCTCCCCGAGGAGCAGAGCTCCCACCACAGGAGCAGAGCTGCCCCCTCGGGCACTGCAGTGCCTGCAAGAATCAGGAGTCTGATGAGTGAGCCTGGAGCGGGCAAGACAGGAAGCAAGCACCGCTCCCTCAAGCTCTGCAGGTGATCTCTGTGTCATCTTGAATAAATACAGTCAGCATTAAAGATGTTTGACAAGAGGGTTAAAGGTAAGGCCTCCCCAAATCTCCACGCATTCCTTTTGTGGGAGTCCTGTTAGAACACATGGTGACGAGACGCTGGCTTTACATACGCAAGTTGCCCTGAGGGTTGCAGGGGAGGCCACGGTGCTGCCTCTGCCCCACCTCCTGCCCTCGTCCCCCAGACCTCACAGGGGCCGCTGACACGTTTCTCTGACTTTCTCCCCTTGGTATTGCTGCTCTTCCAGCTTTTAATAGCTTATAATAACCTCACCAGAAAACTTTAACAATGAACCTAAATCAAATGAAATCAACCACAGAAACACACTGCCTTCATCATTACTTTACATTTTAGGAAGAAATTCTTGAAGACGACTCTCTGACCTGAAGGGATTGATGGAGGAGAAAAGAAAAGAAGACAAGCATTTTTGGCCCACAAAAAATGAGAGGTAACCAGATGGTGGCTAGTATTCATCGCACCTCTCTGCCCTCCCCAATTTCACATGCCCCTCCCAACTCAACTCATCAGAACTCGACTGAAGGAGACGGCTGTGCAAATTTATTGGAAGCC